ATACTAATATCTGAAAAACCTTGATTAAAGTTTTCAGAGAATAGTTTTGTAATCTATGCACAACTATTCATATCTAGTCATATAGTATAGTTTTCTCGGTGTCCATTAATGTTGTTGTGCAAATCCTTTTTGTGTAATCATTTGTATGTGCTGTACAAATCACATGTGACCTGTATCAAGCATGGTGTAGTGCGATGACCGGTTCTTTGGGCATGTTGCACTTCAAGTATATGTCTTGACTGATATCATTTGGATTTTATAAATCAAAAGCAAGGGAATTTGTCTGCAGAATTTTCGAGGAAAGTGTCATACTCAAAATTGAATTATATTACAATATATAGTGATTGTATAAACTATTTTTCAGCCCCCGGGCCACTGTCAAGGTAGATGACATAGCAGAGCTGTTCATATAGGCGATTGTCAGTTGTCCGTTTATAGTCAACAGTTACATTTCTATCATCATACAATTTCATACATTCGTTGTCAAATGTTTTCATTTCATGACAGTATCTTCAATTCTTTATTGCTATTTTCATCTTCTTGCCCAATTACTTTGATACTTGATATGTTGGGTCCATGGGTTTACCTCTGAGATTTGTAACAAGATGATAGAAATTGTAATTGCCATGGCAACAAGCAAAGAAACTGTATTATGATAGTGATATAGAAGAACATTGTGGGAACCTAATAATCATGGCAGTTAGTTAATCTCATCGTACAGATCAACTTTGTTTTGAGGAAAAAACAGAAAAAATAGAACGCTTGTCTAGTACATTTATTTCAGTAGTAAAAATTTTCCTGCTATGTGTTCTATATTTTGTGTTCAAATTCTATGACTCTAGGACTAGAAATGCCTATAGTTGGTGGATATATGACAAAATCTATATAAATTATATTTCATACTATTTTGGGTAAAACTGCAGATACACTATTTCCACATTACATGTATATGCATATTTACGAAACAGACAACAAGCCCTGCGATTTGCAATAATTAATGTGTTGATGATGTCATGTGTTTGATTTGTATGCTATTTAAAAAAAAGTGCATTTTTCTCACTGGGAATTTCTTGAAATGTTAGCAAATTATAATAATAATGTGTATTATAACTTGTATCATGTTTTTCTGTTGTGTAGATTGCTAGATTTTGACTATTAAGGATGTACATGTAGTAGAGGTTTTTTCTTTGAAAATATAACATTCTCTTATAAGAATATACAAAACATGTTTTCAACTAGAAAAAACAAGTAGTGATGGTTTAGGAGGGTAATACATTTTGAGTAAATCTGAGATGCAGTGCGTTTTATGTTTTTTTGTGATTTTTCACGCATAAGAAAACATCTGTATTTGGGATTAGTCTAGAGAGTTGATCTCTACTCCCAGCTGCTTCATGATGGTGATTTTTGGCATAGGTAATCTCTGATAGCTGCTAATGAAATCAGGCAAGATAGACTGTCTACCACTCTGACTTTAGAAAATACAACACAACTCTCTCCTTTGTGACACGATATCATATTTCAAAACAATGTTGACGATGTTTTCAAAAAGTGTTATGAGGTCAAAATCTTGGTAATGCAACAGTAGACGAACTGGGAAATTGAATTGAAACTTTTTATAGTATCTCTAAGTACCTCGAACATCATTTCTGTGGCCTTATTTCGGTTTCTTTGAAAATAACACCTCTCTATTTGCACAGTGATCACGTGATTACACGGTTTAATTTTTTTGTTGGAATATTTATTTTATATTGTTTGAAAAATAAGCTTTCTAAAAATATATAACTTGATGGGATTCAAAGAATATGTTACTTCAGAAATTGCAATAGCAATAACCTCTACTACATCCTTAAAACATGATATAACTCTATGCAACCATGTTCTTTTAACGTTTGTATAATGGTACCGGTAATACATTTTGCAACCACAAATGTCGTGGGTTTTTGAGTTATTGGTACAAAAACTTGTTTTTTGCGCATATTGAGCTTTTCAAACTTGTTGTCATTTTTTGGGAAATAATGCTCTATTTTCTTTTTATACAACGTACTGTATGAGCAGTGAATCCCACAATGCATTGGGTCAAGTGGTAACCATCTTTACAATATACATGTACATGTACTGTAAAATGACTAATTTTCACTGGGTTTAAAATTTTGCTGATTTACCATTTCAGGCATATTCAGTGGGTTTTAAATTCACGGTTTTATATTATAGATAATGTGTTCTTTACTAAATTTTAGATATTCACTGGGTTTTAATTTAGCGCATTTTTCAGTCAGCGAAATAAGCAAAATTAAAACCCAGTGAATAATTAATCCTTTTACAGTAACTATTAAAGCAACAAACGATCTTATTTTCTTTTTATTAGGCTGGTAAGATGGCAGACTTAGTTTTGTGGCATCCAGCATTTTTTGGTGCAAAACCCGAAATTATTGTTAAAGGTGGCCATATTGCTTGGGCACAAATGGGTAAGCAGAATTTATATTCACTTATTTCCACATGTACTGAAATCAATAATAATAGAACAATAATGCATTATATTCAAAATCAGAATTATCATAGAATTTATTTCAACAGTTGCATTGAGATGGTGCTATAGGCAAGTGAAATAGTTTTTTTGGGGGGACTGAGCTACGTCACAGAATGTTCTGTGTTGCTAAAAACAACTATTTCTGAGTGTTTTCAGCCTTTCTTTTCACTGATGGTTGCCAGGCCTACAAATGCGCAGATGTCAATTACCGGTACTTGTTGTGATTTTGTAGTAGTCTAAGCAGAATTTGAGGAAAAATATTTGAAGAAAGCATCTTCCTGCAATCTAACCTAAATGGTGTTATAGAGCAGAGAATATTTAAATTGTTAAGATTTAAAAAACTGTCAGGTTTCTATAATTAAATATAAGGGTAAAATATTGAAAGTTGAGATCAAATTTTCAATATAAAAATCAGTGATTACAAAAATGTTACTAAAAAAGCAAGATTTCTGTCTAAATATTGTTCATAATATTGCCACAAAAGCTCCAGATGTTATAGTGAGTCACGAGTGAGTACCAGTAAGACAAAAACATTTAATCATGACACTGTTAAGGTTCTTTAAATATATTTATATTACGTTTTAACCTTTTTACCACCAGTTCTCGGTTTTCATCATAAATTCACAAAATAGTCCAGTTTATAGTCTGCACTTTCTTTCAGAAGATAGTGAAAAAAAAAGCAAAATATTTTGTTTGAAAACCGAAAATTTAATCAAATTTTGTCTGTTGGCTTAAAAATTAGGATTCATTTGCCGAAATATCGAAAAATATGAGAAAAAAAATTCAGAATTTCATGACAGAACTGACTGATTCGCGTTAATTCACACAAGCTAATGTTACACAATCTAATGAATTACAATTGTCTTGTTATTCAGGTATGCCGAATGCTTCCATTCCGACACCACAGCCAGTGAAACAACGCAAAATGTTTGGCGCCTATGGTAAATCCATTGGTAACACAAGTGCTATATTTGTATCCAAGTTATGTGCCGAGAGTGGGGTAGCTTCAACTTATGGAATTGACAAGTCGGTAATAGCTGTTGAAGGGTAAGTACACGTACTGATCAAATTTCTATAAAAAAAAACTTTTCTGATTTCCCATATTACATGCATTAAAGCTGTTATCTCAGGGTTTTGTCAGAATTTAAAAAAAAACATGTCAAGATCAATTATCAAACAATGTTACACTGGCATAAAGCAGAAGTTTCACAATGACAAGACAAGAAGCGAAAATAAATTTTGTTTTTTTCTTCTTCTTGAATAACGTCTGATCGTTGAGTGCTAGTATGTAGTATCGTTGTGGAGACTGTTAGTCTGACCTAATTAGACACCCACTGCTGTTGCCACAACCACAGTTATTTCTACCAATCACATCCCGGTGTTACTATTAGTAGTTTGTTTGTTGTTTCATTGTACAACTGTAACTTGCTTGTAATCGAGTGAAGCGAATAAACAGTTGAGTTATTGTTACCGCACAGTAAACTTGTCTTCTCAATTTCTCTGTTTCGGTTTTCTATGCGCAACTGACTCAATTCACGTGCACAATCGTATTCATAATGCATGTTTTACGTCACATGTTCTAATTGGATAACTCATGGACGTGTTTTCATCCAGCTACCGTTATTTTTTTTTTTTAACAGTTGTCGTAATTTGTCGAAGAAAGATATGATACTGAATGATTATTTACCAGTAATAACAGGTACCAGTGAATAAAAAAGCATTTAATGATTTACTGAATTTTCATTTTGCTATTACCGCTGATATAGAGAACCTGCTAACTTTAAATTCATGTAAAATAACAATAAAATTCATTGTTACACTGACAAATTTGAGAATTTAAAAAAATCCTGTGAATAGTGAAATTAAATATAGTGAAAATAGTTTTTTATTATTACTTTATTTTCGAAGGACATTTAAATGCATCCCTTTCAACTACCGGTGTACCACACTGTAAATTATTCACTGGGTTTTAATTTTAGCTGATGAGTAAAATGGGCGAAATTAAATTTATGTGAACATGTAAAATAACAAGAAAGATAATCATGGTTTCTCTGTCAAATTATCTGAACTTAAAACCCAGTGAAATTGCTCAAAAATTCTGACTATTAAATTCTACTGAAAATAAATGGTTTTACAGTAAATTAAATTGAAGTAAGCCTCAACATTTTCATTCTTAATGTTTTGACTTTGTGATTTGAGAAGGTACATTTATGTTTATTTGTGTTTTTAGACTACTTTAGAATACTTTATTTTCGCTTGGAACTAATTTTCGTTATTTTTGCTGAAGGAATGATTCAGTGAAAATAAAACCCAACGAATATACTTTTTTTGCTATATTTCACATTCAACTGGTCAAAAATCAGTGAAAATAAATTCCATATAAAACACCAAAAATGTCTTTTCAGCAAAAATTAATTTCAGCTAAAGTATATTACAGTGTTAAGGAATATATTTTGATATTTTAATGTACTGTGGAATACTTTATTTTCGCTGGAATTAATTTTTGCTGAAAAGGCTTTTTGGGCGTTCTTTGTGGAATTTATTTTCACTGATTTTTGGATGAGTTGAATGTGAAATATAGGAAAAAAAGTATATTCGCTGGATTTTATTTTCACGGAATCATCC